CCAAAGAGGAATTTATTGCTTCATGTAAACTAGCAAGTTAAAGTTAAATCAGGAATCACATAGAGCTGGACCAAGTTCCATCTAAGTCACGTGGGTTGTTTTTTTTTTCACTTCTCCCTGCCCTTCTCTCTCTCAGGCTTGCCTCTTCATCTCTCTGTGTATTGGTGTGTGCCCATCTAACTGTCGCATGTCACATGGGGTAAGAAAATAATGGCCATTTCCTATGACCCCTTTCCTAAAGTGTTGGTGGGGGATGGGGGAAGGCACAGGAGAGGACTCTGCATGGTTCAGTTGGATCACAAGCTCATCTCTAGATCTGTCACTTTAGCTGGGAGGAATGAGGTCCTTTGATTAGGAGACCAAAAAGGCAGATACATGGACTAGGAATCCTGCCAGAAACACATAATATGTGTGGATATTGTTTTTTTATCACTCTGTTTTCTTATCCATAAAATGGGAAATCACTCTCCCCTCAATAGGGTGGTAGTGATGATGAAATGACATTATGTTTGGAAAAGATATACTGTAGAACTGAGCAATAAATGATAACTATTAACAGTTATAACAGTAAAATAAAAATGAAGACTGCTATGTAGTAGAAACAGAAACAACCTCCTTTTCTTGATCTAGACAGATCTCTTTTGCTTGTCTTGTTAACCCACCTCCCTCTCCCCAAGGAAAGAGCAAATTTAAAGAGCAGAGACCCATGACTTTTATTCCTCATGTTTCCATGACAACTAACACAGAGAAAGGAAAGAAACTAACATATATTAAGCACTATGCATTTTAGTAGAGACCTTGACATGTGATCTACTTAAATGCACCAAACACAGCAACTTGCTCAGAGCAGTCATTTGATAGCTATTTGTTCAGTAAATGCAAATTGATTGATGTTATACATCTGGCATAAGGTAACTTCTTAAAAGTTCAAGACGAAGCAGAACACACTGTATTGTATTACAAGTAGTAGCAACTCTGACATTTCACATTAAAAAAAGAACTTTCATCAGGTTTCTCTAAATTCTTTTGAAAGCAAATTTTGCCCTAATAGAAAGCATAATCTGGGCCAGCTGGAAATTTGAATTCCAGAGTCTTATGTCTACCGTTACAGCTTCAGTGAGGACACTGTACTTAGGACTATACTAAGGCTTGTGCCTGGGGATTAATATTCTGAAAAAGCAATCAGATAGAACAAGGTAAGTTGATTTGTTGAAATGGGAAATTTCAGACTCATCAATGCGGTGAAATAACGTACGTGTGCTTCTCAGAGTTATTTGCCGTCGTCTTTGAGAGCTGCTTTGGATTAGTCCATCAGCACTTCTGACCTGCGTGTTGGGATTTCTCATGCTTTTTTCTCTTATAACATTGGGGAGTTTGTGGTGCTTGGAGATCCCAGAAAGACAAGAATATTTTTAGACAGAAAAGGCTGAGATGCAGCTGAATTTAAACACATGTATAATGCTAGTTCCAACATCTGAGTGCAAGTCATGAATGGAGAAGTGATGACTTAATAGGTAGATGAAAATAGTGGTATAAAGGTACCTCCTAGGATTCCTCCTCTGGAATAAAACCAGGACTGTACTCCATAGTGGGGTTAACATATTGCAATGGGGGAAACAAGAACCTCATACTGCTTTCTCCTATGGCCTTACTTTTTCCTTGTCATAGCTTTATTCCTATTTATTTGCACACTAGACATGTCACCCTAATTAAAGAATTAGGCTGCTGGGTTGGAATCCTTGCTTTGCCGGTTGGTTTCTGCACGAGTTTTGCCAAGTTGCTCAATATCTCTGTACTTCAGTTTCTTCATATATAAATTGAGGAGATGAGTATTTTCGTGGAGGGTCATTGAAGGAATTGAATGACATAATAAAGGTAAAGTTATAGATCAGTGATTGTCCCACAGTATGTGTTCAATAAATAACAGTTGATATATCACTATACTGCAGCATGTGTTTGATGATTGAATCAATTAAGAGCTGTGCAAATTGGAAAAAATTGGTATTACCTACAAAGATCAACAAGGCTGTAAGGTTGTGCCATGATGCTGATCCTTAAAGAATGGGTGGGTTTCCAGGCAAAGAAAAGAAAAGAATATCACAAATAATAGGAAGAGGTAGCTGAACAAAGTAGTCCAAAGTGGCTAGATCCCAGTGATCCAGGAAGAAGATGGTAGGAACATATATTCTATTTCCTTAAATACAATTGGAGCTGCAGTCCCCACATTTAGAAACAAATCATGTTTTCAGAAGAGATATCTTGGTTTGAACATTTGACTTCTCTCTTGACACATGGTCAATTGTTTACATGTTTGAGTCTCCTACCTAATCTTTGGAAGCACTGGTAGAGGAGTAGACAAGTGAGACGGGGAAGGAAAGGAAACCAAAAAGGGTGTGATAATGCAGGTTACCACTGTGTGGACTTTTGCCCCAATCCCGCCTGCTGGGGATCTCTAAGTGAATAGAGCAAGGCTCAGATTCACCCTACCTGAGGGGTGAGGAACCTGGAGTATTTATCTACCAGTTTATGTCTATCTCAGATGAGGCTGCTCCTGGAGGTGTTAACTCTGTAGCACTCCCGCCTGTCCAGCATGCAAGACAAATATGCTTCATGCACCCAGAGAACATTTTAAGGCAGAGCTGCGGGGATTTCAGGGGATTGCAATGGAGGCCATACACTGAGGGCGTATGGACACTTCCTTTGCTATGGCCTACCATAGCCCATACTTTGCACTACCCAGATTCACTCATGCTGCAGGTTAAGTTCATTCTGTCCTTTCACTGATTATTTTAGGAGGTCACTTGTCACAATTCCACAAGAGGAGGCCTATAGTCTCAACTGTTGTAGTTAATCTTGAAACCATAATCGATATTTGTCGTTTCCCTCCTTTATTACCTCCATGCCCTCAACCAAACTGCTTCTCGTCTAGGTTCATCGTGTGATGCAATGACTCAGCCTTTTATCCCTGAGAGAATGAGTCCCTGGTTACTTGTCCTCATTAAGATATTGTTGCTGCCATTGCCCTTTTGTTTCTCACCAGGGACGCATCAACAGACAGGCCAGTGAGTTGCATGATTTCCAGACATATTCCTCCCTGCTCCATTATTTAGCAGCAACCCTATGTCCTCCTCATAATCAGGATGAATTACCCCTGTCTGTATAGTAACTGCCTTCTCTGACTGCTGGCCTGTGGGCATAAGAGCCAAGAAGAATCAGGCAGCAGCTGAAGCTGTAGATTTACTGTGTGCCCTGGTAGACATATCAAGACTTCTAACTCTGCAGAACTGGAAGTTGTAAAAAGGGGAAGGCCACTTTCTTTTTCTTTTAAATTTATTTTATTGAAGTATAGTTGATTTATAATGTTGTGTTGATTTCTGCTGTACAGCAAAGTGATTCCATTATACATATATAATACATACACATTCTTTTTCGTATTCTTTTCCATTATGGTTTATCATAGGATATTGAATATAGTTCCCTGGGCTCTACAGTAGGACAGAAAGCCCATTTGCTTAAGTGGATTATTTAAAGATCTAGTGGGAGGCTTCATTCCTACTTCCACCTTTCGATGACAGCTATTCAGGACTCAGCACTACATATACTAACATCATTTAATAGTACAACCACGTCTTGAACCTTAACCATGTACGGTGTCATTCCCAGCAAAACACAACAACATATTTACAATCTCAAACCTGGTCTACAGAGAACAGTCACCACTGAGCTTCTCACTGAAGCTGCCATACCTCTCTGGGGACATTCCTTATTGCTTTAGCGAAGGGAGTGATATCTGGACTCTCCTGGGAAACATAATCAACCTGTCGTTTCTCTGACGTTACAGAATAAATACATTATAACATGCCCACCTCTCTGAGACCTTGTTACTCTTCTCCAGTGCTTTGCCAAGGTAGTTCTGGTAACTTCACATCATTTATTTTAGGCCAACATCCTTTCCAAGCTTCAAGGAGCTATTCCAGTAGCACATTGGGATCAGCTCCAGGTATACTTGCCAGAATGTTAAAAATTAACTCATGAAAGAGTGCTCTCACAGAAATAATGATCTGGTCTTACATTCTGTCCTCCCTGATCTAGCATCTCAAGACCAATTCCTCTGAATGTTTTCCAGATACCACTAGCATTTATTAGCCAGGTTCTGTAGTTCACTTGATTAATCATCCATTTCATCCTACAACATAGATCATACTTTTCTACTCAAGTCATACTGAGACTTGATCCTAATTATTTGTCTAGAAGCAATGAGGGGAGATGGGAGCAGAGCTTGAGAAGGGAAATATCACTATATAAAACATCCTACTGAGGTGAGGCTTTAACATGGTAATTGACTGTTCTCCAACTGGAAAGGGTAAGGGCCTCTTTTTCTGGAGCAGAGTTTCAGAAGATTCTCTGGGTTCAAGACTCTTAAGAGCATCTACCCAAATATCTCCTCCAATGTTTCAGTGTCTGACTCTTTCCCTATAAAGATCCTGATTATAGTGGAGAAGACTTGCCAACTCTGTGAATTCGGCCTCCTTTATAAATCCACTTTTCCTAAAATTAAATCTTAGGCCTGATTTTCAGCATGGTCTATCCTGTAGCTGAAGGAAACAAAGGTCATTTTGATTGTTGCTTGGAGGTCTTTAAATTTTTACACCAGATCTTGAGTTGAGTGTTGGCTGACCCAAGTCTGTAATTTTTTTCCCTATGGAGTTTTATGGAAGTTAGCTCTGCAATCTCATGTCTTTCAAATACAAGAGCAATAGGATTTTACTTCTGTCTGTAGTCCATCCCAATCCACCTCATGAGAGTCTTAGTAATTATGGTGCTATAGCCTGCCAGGGATTAGCTCCCCTACATTATGCACCAGCAAGAGGGTCCCTGCTACCACCTGGTAGTGAATCATTCAGTTCAAACGCTGGTATTGAGGATCTGCTCCCTAAACCACCTCTGTCCCAACTAACTTAGGCGAGGTTTGGGTTCCCATATAAGACCCTGAAACAGAATTTGAGTGAAAGTAGTTTATTTGGAAAGTGACCTAGGAAGCACCAGTAGAGGAGTGGGGAAGTGAGGAAAGAAGGAAATGAAGCCAATAAAGGTTGCAGCAGGTGGGAAGGTTTCCCCTGTGGGAACCAAGGACTATTAGTACCACTGGGGTTGTCTAAGAGGCTGCATAGAGCATGCCTCAGAACTGGTCTTCCCAAGAGACAAAGAACCTAAGGTATTCACCCCCCAGTCCCTGCTATCATTGGTTTTGGGCTGCTCTGGAGACATTAACTCACTGGCCTGCCTGCCTCATGCGTCAAGAGCTCCAGAGGCCAGAGAATGCCCTTAGGGAAAGGGTCACAAAGACAAATAATAGGAAGCTGTGTGGTTGGTACTTATGGAAACAATGACTGCCAAGATAATAAGGAGAGGATACCCAAAAACATCTGTTACAAAGCTCCTGTGAGTGCATTATGAATATTAATGAAAAATAGTGCCTTTAAACAGTAGTAGCTACCTGCAGCATACCTGCACCACAGCCATTGTGTAAAGCAAGATATCACCATGCATAGTTTAGTTGTTTCTCTGTATGTTGATTAGCTTGGCACCTTTCCTGACCAGAATATATGAGGATATATTCCTCTGCTTAACCAAAAACGTGTATATGTACTGCTTGCTTTCCTGACCTAAATGCCAATGTGAACTGTAGATATAGATGCTTTGAATTCATCTCCGTTTTAATAGTACCATTCCTTTAAGTGCATATTTCACATCTCTTTTTGGAAATTAAATTTTAGAAATGGGTCTTGAGAACTATGGACACACAGTCAACAAAAAAGTTTAGAATACTAAGAAACTTAAAGCACTTGCAGAAATAAGGAAACAGCATCTTTTAATGTTTTATTTTCACTTGTGAAAATATATATAATATGTATTACACGCACAGAAGAGTCCCACAGCTTGAGTGGGACTAAAAGAGAAAGCTAAAAGAAAGGCACATACCAGGGGCAGTCTTTTCATAAAGTTTTCAGTTAAACCAACATTCAGGGCATGGCAAGGGACAGTAAAAGCAACAAAAGCACAGGAAGCCTGTGTACATGACTCTGAAGAGCTAAATCAGAGACAACTTTAGGTCTGTTGAGAATTGAGGTCATCTCTGGAGAAAATACTGTTTCTACTTAGTAGGCCTGTCAGACCAGCAGAGGATGTACTGAAATCTGAACAAAGACACCAGGGGCAAAGTGAAAGCCAATGCTTAAGTTGACAGCTAGCCTGTTCTTCTCCCCCTTCTCTTTCAGACCTGAGGCCTTGGCTGACTCAAAGAAGCAAATAACCGGGCCGACTCTGGCCCTGCACAATTATGGTCAGCTACAAGACAGAATTTTGTAACAAACTAAATATTTTAAAAGCTTGTAAACACTGTGCTGATGCTGAGAAAAACATAAAAAGAACATTTGCTATTTCTCTTAGAGGAAAGATACAGGCACAGATCTTTGGCTTTGCCCCAGGTGTATCCCTATCCTGATATTTGCCCAAAACGGTAGGAACTGAGACACAATTCATGAGATGATTGGATCACTTCCATCATAGGCCAGCATAGGAGCCTACTAGGATTTAGCACAGCTGGAGCAGCTGACAACCCTGGGAGATGTGAGATGGGGCTTCACGATGTCAGGCTGAATGGATTCCATCAGGTCACACTCGTTCGCAAGTATATGTTTCACCAGGCATCTGGAAGCTTCATCAATGTTGATATTTTCCTAAGGGGAGAAAACAGCTCTTATTATTCAATATTCTACAGTGATGCTATGGCGGAGATTTATATGAGACAAAAGGGCAGTATTTAAATATCTCTTCCTAAACCCTATCCATGCATCCTCTTTCTATTCCCTTCACCCTCATTTATTACCTCTAAGAACTTTACTCTTCAGTCCTTCACAAAAGTGAAGTATGTATTTGTTTTGTCACTTAGGAGGAATAGTGTTTGGTGGGCTCACTTAGTAGACTGAATTTAAGTTAGAGGGCAATTGTCTTATTTTGACATACTCTTACATTATAGAATAATATTGTAGAAGACACAGTAAGTCTTCAATGTAAATTAGGTTCATAATTGCACTCTCCCACATACTACTTTTGTGAACTTGATATGAAATAGGAATAATAAGACACCTCTTGCAGCAGTCATTAGTGGTTTCACAAGTACTTCTGGCTCTTTGCCTTCCAGTCAAATGGTAGGAGTGCCCTGCTCTGACCTCTTCGAAGTTAGGCATGGACATGTGACTTTCATGGGACAATGAAATGGGAGGATAAATGATGTGTCTCACTTTCACTTTCGTGTAGAAGCAATAAGAGACAATGCTCAATTCACCATGTTCTTTTATCCCTGCTTCTGCAAACATAAAAAGCACAGAGATGGAAATTCTCTTGGCCTAAGTCTATGAATGAGGTTCAAAAAGAACCAAGTATCCTATGATGATTCATGTAGGATGAATGAGAATTATGACTTTAAGCCACTGAGATTTGGGGTTGTTTATTACGGTGACATTACTTAGACAATCCAGGTGGACATAACTCTTCAAAGAAAAATATGAAATCAGAAATATGAATCTAGTTTCAAGAATGAACTAAGCTTCAACTTGGAGAAAATATGGAACAAACCTTTGAATCTAAAATATATTGTTTCGTAAGGTAGATAGCTAGTGGGAAGCAGCCGCATAGCACAGGGATATTAGCTCGGTGCTTTGTGACCGCCTGGAGGGGTGGGATAGGGAGGGTGGGAGGGAGGGAGACGCAAGAGGGAAGAGATATGGGAACATATGTATATGTATAACTGATTCACTTTGTTATAAAGCAGAAACTAACACACCACTGTAAAGCAATTATACCCCAATAAAGATGTTAAAAAATAAAATAAAATAAAATAAAAAATAAAATATATTGTTTCATTCTTAGGAATCCATTCCATGGCAATAAAAGCATTTGTGCCTCAGGAAAGATGTACAAGAATGTTTATTGTAGAAATTTTCATAACCAATAAAGAAAGAAAACAGAAAAACTGGAAAAGCTGAGGACGCTCATGAACAGGAATGGAATACACACAACATGGAATATTATGCAATCACAGAACATGGATGAACCTTGAAAACATCAGGCTAAGTGAAAGAAGCCAGTCACGAAGGACCACATATTGTACGATTCATTTACGTGAAATGTCCAAAACAGGCAAATCCAAGGAGACAGAAAACAGATTGTTGGTGGTTGGCTAGGGCCGGGTGGGGAGAGGGGTTGTAGGGAATTGGAGTGATTGCTAGTGGATGCAGGGTGGGTGGCGTTTCCTTTTGGAGTGATGAAAATGTTCTAAAATTGGTTGTGGTGATGCCTGCACAACTCTGGATATACTAAAAACCATTGGATTGTACACCTTAAAGGGGTGAATTGTACGGCATATGAATTACATCTCAATAGAGTTATAGGAAAAGAATGAGATTACTGGGTCAAATATATATATATAGTTTATTCAGTAACTATGGATTAAGTTGCCTTTTCTCTGCTAGTCAGAAAACTGAGAAATACAGAATATTTACTACTAATATACTAAACAAAAAACCTTGATCTCTTGTAAAGTCAGATTTGACTGTCTTTATCACAATTTGTAGAACTTCTCTGATGTGTCTCCTTATATTCAATGGAAAGAGAGAAGGACATTTTTGTGAAACTGTTTTGCCCCAAGGCCTTGTTGCCCAATCTGAAGTATAACTATTTATACCTGATTTTTGTATGTATGTCAGCGTTGCTGATATATTTTGAGATCATTGCATGAAATCATATTACATGGAAGATGTATCGCATGAAATCATATTACATGGAAAATGTAAGAGGTAGTGATGTTTTCCAAATGGTATCTATGGCTAATGCAATTAGGTGTAAATGTTCATCGGCACATTTCCGATCATTCAAGCCCAACCCTGAGCTCACTTGCTATGAAAGCGTAAGGTAACTTTTCAAGTTCCAGAAATAACAAACCTCTCCCATTTACAGAGCCTTAATAAAAATTCCTCTGAGGGTTTCTAAATCTAAAACAAGGTGAAGCTCTGGTTGCTTTTTTGTTTGTTTGTGATGTTGTTTTTACTCGTTTTTATACCAGACCAGAATTCACGTCTCTGAGCTTCCCTTTCCTCACCTGTATGACGTTCTCAATGAGAATACTTATCTAATAAAAAGTTGCTTTTCTTTACGGGATGCAGGGGTTATTGGGGCTTTCACAGTGCTGGGCACTTCATATACATAATCTTATTTAAACCTATTTAAAGCCCTATAAGACAAGGATTCGTTTTTTGTTCTTATTTATTCCGTTGTTATTGTTGGGGTAGAGGTGAGTGACCTTTCTCCCTTCAGCTGAACTATCTGCCTTATGCCATGGAAACCAGTCCATAGACAGTAGCCATGCTTCTGCCCTCTTCCCATCGCCCATGCTCACCATGCCTTCTGTCATTCTTCTTCTTCCTAGTATCAGGCCCAGGGATCACACTGAAATGACCTGCTCCCAGGAAGTAATCTGACGTAGGCAGAGTCTGGATCTTTGGGACAGACCCAGGTCAATGCTTTGCTCTCAGGTCCAGCCACTTGTTTACGTGATCAGTTAGAAGCCTGGCCCATGGTCTTCCACTGCCTCTTATTCAAGGAAAGTGGGGAAGTGTAGCTTCACCTAGCCTCCCAGGCCTTGGCCTCTAGGGCCAGCACATCTCACTAATGAAGGTGCTTTCCTAGCCATTAATAAACATATACTTTGATTCTCTTTTGCCTATTGCTTGTGTGTTGGGGAACGAGCCCCAAATACCAAACACAGGATATCATCGTATCTGTTTACAGGTAAGAAAACTTAAGTTTAGGGAGATTAAGAGACCTCCCCCACAAAAGCATGCAGCAGGTGGGTTTGAGGGCCAAAACTCACACCCAGGTGTTTCTGACATCAAAGCCTGGCTCTTACCAAGCTATATTCCTTTTCAAGACTTTTGAAAATCAAGTGCAATAACAAATAAAAGTTCTTACTACAGGGTTAGGCCCAGTGGATGCAAAATAAATCTTAGTCCCCTTCTCTTTCATAAAGCAAGTTTTAAGCATCAAAAAGGGCCTTCCTTCACATACAAGTTAGATTTGACAGGAGTATATTTAATACCTCCACTCAAATATTAACATCATAGTTAAATAGGGTTTTCTTTCATTAATGTACAAATTGGCAAAATCTGCTAACGAAGAGGGTGAAGTGTGGACAAATGAATGAAAATCCATCATCATTATGAGAAGGACAACTAAAACCTAAGTCCAATTAGTGGCAGCCTAGCAGGATCATTTTAGTAAAAGATAAGATGATGCTGGTGAAATTGTGACCTTTAACCCACTGAGTAAAGGCTGGCTGGTGTCAGGACTAAGGCAGGAGATTATTGCAGGATGGGGCTCTGGACCAAGGAAACCATCAGAGCCAAGGAGCAGCTGTACCTGCTTTTAGATTTTATATAGGAACAGGGTAGCAGTCCATGATGACTGAGTCACAGTCATTCAATTAATATTATTTAGAGTCCCACTAAGTATGAGGCATACAAAGATAAAGAGGTTAAAATAAGCTCTGTCCTTGATTGAGCTTATACTAGCAAGGTAAACAGCAGAGGTATATGGTTGGAAAGGGCATCTGGAGCCGGGTTACTGTAGAGCCTTGAACGCTAAGTTGGCCAGATAGAGTCACTGAGGCTTTTTTGCAACTCAAGTGTCAATAAACACAATCCGATACTAGACAAAACTATATGGACCCTTAGCACTCTTTTTAATTACTTAATCTTTCAGTGAGCACTTAGGAAATACCTATCATGTGTACCGTGGTGCTGGTTGCCATGGCATACCTATTTCAGATTGGAACCTTCAAGAGGAAGCCGGGAAGAGGAGCAAGTACTTATATTGATCACATGCTTTCTACAAAAGGGTACAATGTACAGTGTCTAGAGGACAGGTCTGAAGCCGAACTCTAATCTCAGCTCCCACTTTCTGCTTGTGTGACCTTGGGAACACTGTTTCAACCACCCCACTCCACACCTAAGCTTCCTCCTCTGTGAAAAGGGAATCAAGAGATCTGCTTTATAGGCAATTTAAAGTTAATACATGTTAGTACTTAGAATATGTGAGACACTTAGAACAGTGAAGGGGAAAGGGCATACATTCAATAAATGTTATCTACATGTTCTCCTCAATTAATTTTCAGGAGAACATGATAATGTGTGTATTCTATTCCTTCACTTTGCAGCTGAAGAAACTGAGATTAAGTAGGCATAAGTGGCTGGTCCCAAGACACACACTGGTAAGTGGTAGGGCCAGGTGTGAGTCCAGGGAGAACAGTAAACACTAATATTTGCCGTGATCTTTACTATATGCTCACTACAAAAAGGCAAGATGTATAGTGTTTAGGGCACATGCTTGGAGCCTCTCATCTCAAGTCCCCCTAAATATTTCCCCCAAATAAATAAAGGAACACAGCATGGGCAGGGTGTGTGTTTCCAGCATTAAAAGGGTAAGAAAGGGCTTCCATGGTGGCGCAGTGGTTGAGAGTCCGCCTGCCGATGCAGGGGACACGGGTTCGTGCCCCGGTCCGGGAAGATCCCACATGCCGCCAAGCGGCTGGGCCTGTGAGCCATGGCCGCTGAGCCTGCGCTCCGCAACGGGAGAGGCCACAACAGTGAGAGGCCCGCGTACCGCAAAAAAAAAAAAAAAAAAA